TTTCCCTGACCACCACCAGTCAAGTATTGAATGACTTTCATCATTTGAACCACGCATTTACCTTGTAGTCCAACAGTACAGTTATTTAGTTGATTATAATTTTGCGTCAGCCATCACAAATGGTATTCGGTTAGTTGTTGTATAGTAATTTACTCATCCTTGAGAAATGTTAATATGAACTATGCAGTCAGCATATTACTGATTATTTAAAACTTAATATGAACAAGATCTAAGTAGTGTTTAAAAACATTGAACAACTTCATACAATCCTTCTCATCAATAGATTTCAATAAGGCAAAGACGACATATGTGTACCAGGACATTATTATCATTATCATTCCCTTGGGTTCCGCGTAAAATATACGGCTTCAGCAACACATCTCCTCTCTATTCTATTCCCTACTGTCTTCTTCAGCTGGCTAGCTCCACGATTGTCCATAATCACTTATCTCCCCCTGTTCCTCGCCACACGATCTCCTCCATGTCGCTCTCGGTCGCACCGACGACCAACTCGTCGCTTGCCTTTAGGATTCCACCCGAGCGATGGCCTGCATTTGGCACGGTGTCATTCTATGGCCTCCTTATCGTATACCCGATCTATCTATCTATCTCCATTTTCTCCTAGATATTTGTTGAGCGACTGACTGTCGCATCTTGATTTGTTGCTAGCCAAAGTTTCTTGATGCTAATTCTTTCTGATTGGCTCAACTGGCTGGCCATTTGATCTTCAGTAATGAACCAGAGAAGTTGGCAGCTGTTTATAGAAAACTGTGTAACTTGTCGCGGAAGTCTTTTTCATGCTTACCAGACATCAACATATCAAATTCCATAAGTGTTGCTATGTAGCCTACCAATAGAATGTGTGATGCCTTACCAGATGATTTGCAACACCACTAACCAAATATTTGCCATCTCTTTGTATATGTCCCGACCAAGTTCAATTTTAATGGTTTCAACAATTTGCATTAGGCATTGCATATATGATATTCAGTATCATAAAAGATATTGTATTTTGATAGAGAAAGAAAGACCAGATTTACAGTATAAAATGATGCCATCATTCTATTTCACAGGTTCTCATCAGCCAACTGCAAACTACCTGAAATTACAATGGTTATAAATAATAACATTTCATACTTCATTGTTTGAAAAATAATAGAGAAAACATTATAAGATGAACGCATCTGGAATATAAGTATTATAATCAAAGTCACCGTCAATTTATATACTGTCAAACTATGAAAGAAGAGAAAAAGGGGGGGTTGAGAGAAGACAGAAAATTCTAATAAACAGTGTCAACATGGCAACTCAAGAAGGTCAAAGTTCATCACTTTGAAAACTTGCTTAGTGAGTTGAGTTCACTAGTGTGTATGACTAATCTGTGTAATGAAAGTGATATAGTTACCAAGGAAGTGAGAGATTGACCACACTCTCTTTCTGTATGCATAAGTTTGGCCTGTGACGTTTGATTGCAATTGCTTCAGCAAATCGTAGTAGATTCGCTGTCCTTTGTATGTTTAATATTTTGAAGGATTTAGAAATCTCGACAAAATGACCCGTATCCACATGGTGGGTGTCTGGTAACTGCACTTTGTAAATATCTGCTTCCTTTTAGGAATAAGTTTCTTGGAATATGCTCTGAAAACCGGATAGAAGTCCTGACTTCTTTCTGTCCTTCCAATGCACTTGCTGCCGCAGGTACACGTAAATTTATAAATGCAGTTGGAGGTGACATCAGCAGGGTACTTATCCAGTTTCGACTGGCTTATAGAGCGTGTAGTACTGTATAGTGTCACCAAATTGGCTGCAGGGAAGCATCTCTTTATTGATCCCTTCATCCTCTTTTCAATCTTTTGAGATACGGTTTCTCCTTTGTATGGGAGGCAAATGAACTTTTTCTTCTTCTCAACTGTTGGAGATTTCTCTTTCTCATCTCTTTCTTTGCTGTACTTTAGGATAAGTCCTTTTGGATACCCATTTTCCTTAAGGCATTTTTCGACAAAGCTTAATTCTTCTTCTACCTTGTTAGGCGGACATAATTTCCTGGCCCTGTCGTATAGTGTCCTCACTAATCCCCGCTTATAGCTCATAGGGCAGAAGCTGTTATAATGAAGGTATTGTCCGGTTCAAGTTTCTTCCTTCTTGAAATGCCATGCTGACACTGTTTATTAGAATTTTCTGTCTTCTCTCAACCCCCCTTTTTCTCTTCTTTCATAGTTTGACAGTATATAAATTGACGGTGACTTTGATTATAATACTTATATTCCAGATGCGTTCATCTTATAATGTTTTCTCTATTACCTTTCAAATAATGAAGTATGAAATGTTATTGTTTATAACCATTGTAATTTCAGGTAGTTTGCAGTTGGCTGATGAGAACCTGTGAAATAGAATGATATAATTTTATACTGCAAATCTGGTCTTTTTTTCTCCATCAAAATTTATCAAGGGAACCAAATGTATGAGATATTGTATTTCCCAATGAATGATATTTCGCTATTATCAAAGTATTGATATTAAACCAGAATTTACAGCATCTCTGCTAATCGTTCTTCAGCTTTTGGTAGTTTGTTTTACGTTGTTAAGTTGATCAATCGATAAAGATAGCGAAACCATGTGTGGATTGTTGGATTTGATAAGCGTACAAAATAAAAAAGCAGCGTGTGTGTACATAATGAAATTGCTTACCAAGTTGGTATTGATTTTGTTTGCCACTCCACTTGAAGGAGTGCCCGTGTGTTGGAAGATTGTTAATCTGTGTCTTAGTCCATCATCCTGATTCAGACAATTTGGATTTTATTTGATATGAAATGTTTCTGATGATATTAGACGTTCTTTGTGATTTGTGAAATACTTTTCTGCATGATTTCTATATTGTCAAAATCAATTTTGTGGCCTGATTCCACTGTATCGTGTCGACAATCTATGATAGTCCCACTGGATTTCTCGACAACTGAGTAGGGGCGACTCTACAGTGTTTATTTATCCTAACCTTGATTTCTCTGTGGCAATATTTGTCCGATGTATATCCCACCAAATTCCAAGCAAGTATTTTATTAAACAGACACACCTAGTGGATGTTGAATCCTTTGGAATTTTGTGTTTCACATGGAGAAGCTTGCTTTGTGGTGTGTGTGTGTGTCTGATTTTATGAAAAAATCTGCGTTGTTGAGTAGTCCTGTGACATCATCTTCTGACATTTGTGATCTATTTGAGGTGCATTTCTTCGGAATTTTCGTTGCTGAGAATTTCAGTAATATATGATATTTCTCCTTTCTACCGTATTTAAAACAAGCAATAACTGTTAATAAAGCAGGATTTAATGAATTTATCAAATTTCGGTAGAACTCGTCAGCTAAACAAGAATGGATTTCCTGAGAAGTTCATTAATATATACTCTAAAGAAATTAGCCCCTGCAAAACAATCCAAACAGTTCTGTAGAAACCTGCCTATATCAGTTTGCCACTCGAAGGAGATGATGTACAGGAAGTAGTCAAACGAAGAGCCAGATGACAAACCCATCAAGAGAACTTATTATGCTGCAAAACTTGTCATCCTTAACACCACCAAGCGAGTGTTTCAACAATCTGGGAAAGACCTGTCACCAATCCTCGACACTTCAAACTGCGTATATCAATTTGAGTGTGTTTGTGCGAGGAAGCAAATACATAGGTTGTACGGAAAGGCGATTGTCTACTCGCATGATGGAGCATTTGTCAAAATGGTTGAAAACAACTGAGTGCAAAGTGCCGAAATCCTCAATAACAAACTATCTTGTGGATTACGGACATGATATCGACGCGGTCAAGTCAATCACTATTGTCAGTAGACAAAGAAACAAGAAGATGCTTGCAATTGCAGAGGCTTGTGCAATTCGAGTTTATAAACCAGGTCTCTGTGCATAAATGGAGATGGTCGTGACTCTGAATCTACCATGGTAATACGTTTTACTCATTATTCTACCTCTTAATATTATTATTATTCTTGATTCACTTAAAAGTATCCTTTTTCAGTAGGATTATCTTAATTCACTTCAACACTATTATTATTATTGTTATTATAACCATCACTATTGATATTACTCTGTTTGCAATTCTTGTTTTATTCTCTAATGTCTAATTGTTTATCTAAGTGATGTAATTGAAGCGTAATGCAATTTGTCTTAATTTTGATCTCTCATACTCTCTGTCCCCTTATCTATTTGAACATGACCTGGAAAATATTCGCACCTGTTGTCTTTCTGCATCAATAATTCAATGTAGTTTGTTTACTTATCAGTCTTATATCTCTGAATGTAATTTCAAATGTATATATATATATATCCGTGTATATAGAGTATTCAGCTGACGAGTTCTGCCGAAATTCGACGAATCCATCATTAAATCCTGCTTTATTAACCCCTTTATTGCACGTTTTAAATTTCTATCGGGAAATAAATGTTTTCAATTTCTACCGTATTTTCAAGTATTGGTTTTTTGTAGGGATTTTGTTCAGTTGCATGGAGGATTTAATCATGAGCTGACATCAGTTAGAGAACCACTGGAAAACCTGGGAGTACTGACAGACAGCTGTTTCGTCCTAGTTTTGGACTCTTCATCAGTACGCACACACCGCCTGGGTTCTAACCCAGGATCTTCTAGTTACAAGGCGAGCTCGTAGACCATTCACGAAGTGGTCGCGCTATGTCGTGAACTGGCAGAAGTTACAATTCAAGGACCATTGGATCGGGTCCCAGTGGCTCAATGGTCTACGAGCTCGCCAACGTTGTAACGAGAAGGTCCTGGGTTTGAACCCTGGTGGTGGGTGCCTACTTCTGAATAGTCCCAAACTAGGACGAAACAGCTGTCCAGTATTCTCAGGTTTTCCAGTGGTTCTCTAACTGATGTCAGCTCATGGTGAAATTCTACCGTATTGTTTATTTCTACATTTGTTTTGAAAATAATTTTTTTTTAATTTTCTCTGTGTCCATCTTTTATTTTCTATTTTTGCTTTCTAAAAGGAATTATTTCTTTGGGCAGTACTTCATCAACGTCAAAAAATGGCTTTATACTTTTGGGAGTGTTGTGATAATCCTCTAATCCTGGCGTTGATTGCCTGTTGTCTCTATTCAAATATGAAGAAATCTCTACCCACCTATGATACTGAATCAAGAGCGCTGTATGAATCATATATTAGAGAATTTGAAACAATAGCTGTTCGTTTGTTAGAAAGGTGTTATGAAACAGATGAGGCAAGCACTTGACTGTATGAGATACATACAATACTTTGTTTGTTTTTTCTGTTTTCCTATGTAATCGAGTAATATTCATTTCTTTATGCAATTAAGCTTTAATCATTGTTTTCAAGTATTGATTTTTGTAGGGATTGTTTTCTCTCGAGTGGTTGGAAGATTTCATCACGAACTGACTGACATCAGTTAGAGAACCATTAGAAAACCTGCCAGGGAGTACTGGACAGCTGTTTCGTCAGCCTAGTTTGAGTCTCTTCATCAATACGCATCCACTGCCAGGGTTCGGACCAAGGACCTCATGGTAACAAGGCTAGAGAGGTCGTAGATCATTGAGCCACTGGGATCCGATCCAGTGTCCAGCCCATAAATTCTCACTTCTGCCAATTCATAACATAACGCGACCACTTCTCAGTACCTTCTTCGATGAATTACTACCTCTCCTTAAACCTGCTGTACCCTACTGGTCACAGCTTCCTACTAGTACCCCAGGTTAACTGCCTGATGAATAGAGCTAGTCGCTAGTGAGCATCAGGTCAATTTTCATCTATTGGCTTTTGTAGGGAGTTCGTCCGATCGGTTGGAGGATTTCATCATTAAATTAATGTTCTCTGACGCATTTATTATGTATGCATTTTCACTTCTCACCTATTCATAATAACTTCAATACAACTGATGGCAAGGTAAAATACAAGCAATACCAGTCCAGATGTTAATTATCTGTAGCAATAACTTCAGGTGTTCACCTGCACGGGCTTGATTGGTTTCAAAATTTCGTCATGAACTGGCATCGGTTAAACAACCGCCTGAAAACCTAGGAGTACTGGACGGCCGTCTAGTCCTAGTTTGAGACTTTTCAGCGGTACACATCCACCAACGTTCGAATCCACAACCTTTAAGCCACTGGGACCAGATCCTGAGCTCAAACCCCATGGTCTGCGTACTGTCGAAGAGTTCCGAACTAGGAGGAAGCAGCTGTTCATAACTCCTTGGTGGTTCTCAAATGGTTCTTTGACCAGTGTCAGTTAATGAGGAATTCCTGAAATTTGTATAGTTAGTTGTAAGAAATTCATGGTCTGAAGCTTCTGAAATGCTTAAAATAACACGTATTTTTCTTGTTAAGCGGCTTATAAATGGAAAGTGCTCTTGATCTTTCTGTTATCTGTCTTTTCCCCGTTGATTTTATCCATTAGCCTAAGTTTTCCTGCTTCAGTTGAATATGGTAAATCAACTTTATTTATCTTAATAGCAGGCTTTCTTGTGAACTGACACCAGCTAGCGATCAAAGGAATGTCAAGGATGGCTGAACACCTGTTTTCTTCTAGTCAATACCTCTTCATATTTGCACGCCAATGAACTTGCGAGTAGTGGTACCTGGCATCATTTGGTTACTGGTCAGTGAGAATTACTCAGTTACGGAAAAAGATGAATGGGATAGCTTTACACTGGAATTCAACGTGATCACGAGGCCTAAGACTAATGTGCTCACGCCATTTCTTAATATTTAACTTGAGAAAAGGTATTAGTTTCAGCGGAAAACAAATGGTGCGTGTAGTTCCTCTTCAAATCGTTGTACCGTACTGCTCCATTATAAATGATTGTCTAACAAGTAATTCAAGTAGTACATCTTACAAGAGATTTCAGAAATTCAGCTTATTAGACTGTATTAAATAATTTTATTATGCTTCATTTGGACTCAGTGCTGCTCATATTATTCAATGATACTCAGAATGTACAGAGCGATCATTGTGGAAGGACTGTGTATTTTCCGTAGATATTACTTTATTTAAGTTAATTTGTGGATAGTGACTAGTAGAGAAATCCAGGAGAACGCGCATTTCGTTCTATTTGGGACTCGTCAGCCAGTGGATGTACCTGTATCCCCCAGTGAGTAGTGGTGTTCCTTACTACTTACTTTACTTTACTTCGGCTATCTCCTACGGGAGGTTGAGCCGGCTTCATGAACATCTCGAATCATCGCTGCCCAGGCGCGGCGATCTGATGCAAGGTTTTGCGACAGGCTTATCCAATTTTTGTTCCACAAACGGAGTCCGTAAACGGTTTGTAGCCCCAGGCACTCCATATCAGCCTTGACTCTACCAAGCCATGTTTTCAGCTGTCCAACCCTGCGACATCGCCAAGTTACCGGGAACGCCGTAGCATGGTGAGAGTTGTTTGTAAGAGAGTTCATGGGAAATAGGTACGAGTGATGTCCCCAGAATCGCTTGGCTTTTTGTTTGAGAGTGCAGCTCTAGCCTTTACACAACCAAGTGTGACCTACAAGGCAGTAGGAGTGGAGTAGAGAGTCCACTATCCATTGGAAGCCGGTGAGTCTCATACGCCAGTCGTTGGAGGTTTGGAATCAGGGTTTAGCCATCTCCCCTAGACTGTCATCCGATGGACAATCAACCCGGTGGAGAGCGCCGGACATCCGCTTTCGCCCTCTCACTTCGGTGAAAACACCTCCGCCACGTGAAGGCAGTGAGTAGGACTTCCTCAGGAGAGGCTATGTAAGACGTCCGGTGAAATGGGAGCATTTCAAGAGGTGTACGGAAGGGTGGGCAACCCGCAGCGCAAGGCACCGACCCCCGACCATCCTGAGGCTTTGGAGGCTACCGAGGCTCGAACCCAATGCCCATAGTTTCAAACGCCACAGAGTCATCGACGGAAAATTCTAAATTGAATTGAATCATTAATGAGACCAGTTGCATAATAGGTGGCCCTCGTGGTCTTAGTGATCTAGTCGATAACACTTTCGTGTTTGAAACTACAGACACCAGGTTCGAGCCTCAGTGGGAACACCACCACTCACTGGGGAATGCAGGTGCATCCACTGACCGACAAATCCCAGGCAAGGCGAAATGCGCAATATCCGGGATCCCACTGCTAGTTACTATCCACTAATCGACTTCAGGTTACATGATAAGACATCATGGAAACATCTGCACAAGCAGCCGATATAACAACTTGAGACAGAGCTCTTCAGTCCTGAAATTGAATTAAGTTACTTTATCTAATTTCTGGTTAAAATCTGATTAAATGTAGTCACAAAGGAAACACACGGTTTCTGTCAACGAAACGTTGCTGAAGAGAGAGACGACATCCAAGGAGACCACTTTCTTTTCTGCCATGATGACATTCTTAATTGAATCAACAAAGTCGAGTGTGTCACGGAGGTTGTGTCTTGACAGTTTCCCTTTCACCGGCCTGGGGATCTCCACCATCCATTTTGCGATTGAGTGATATGCGGAATCTATCGAGCCGGTGAAAGGGAAGCTATCAAGACACAACCTCCGTGACACGCTCAACTTTGTTGATTCAAATAAGAATGCCAATAAGGCAGAAAAAAATGACAGAAACCGTATGTTTCCTTTGTGACCACATTCCATCCAATAGCATCGGTGTCAGTTTACCGATCCATTACCTATAAAAATCTTTTTAGTAAGTGTTTGTAATCCACTGCCAACTTAGAAGTTGATTGGCTCAAAGTGAAATACTTTTTTGGTTATGATGCAGTAAAACAACCAACTGACTCATGGTTAACGTGTAGGGCAGTGAGAGCGAGGAGCTCATCACAGTTTGAATTGTTCAAAAACGACATTGTATACTTCATGTATAGATTTGTATAGAACACAGTGGACTAGATTTCTGAACTGTTGCGCAATTAAAGCTGAAGGAGTATCCCTGTGTAAAAATTGACAAACGAATATAATAGTAACAGTGGGAATATGTTTCCCTGTGCCCTAATGCTCATACTGTTAAAAACGGCAAAAACATGGTGAAAAGCTAGTGTAAACTTGATAAGTACCCTGCTATTGTCAGTCCCATCTGCGTCCGTCAATATACATGCTATCGCAGTGGGAAGTATACTTAGGCGAACCGAAAAATGGGGGGGGGGCTGTTATATTTCGCTTCATCAAAACCCAAACCTATTTGGGTTCTAATCAGTTAGTCGTGCAAAAGTTGACAAGATAAAAATCAATTAGCAAAGCGGAAATAAATACTTAAAAAATGATGATCTCACAGATTTTAAAATATAATGTGACTGCGATAAATTTTGATATGTGATCATCCATCATCTCTAAGTGTGTGTGATTATTTACTGAGTTTCAACATGTAATTAGCTAACCATGATCAATAAGTTCCATTATGGGTAAAATTTCATTTTTTGATCATTTCACATGCTGTAGTGTTATGCGGGAATTATAACTGATGCAACCACATTTCGAGCAAAATTTATTGTTACTGCTCATCGTCATCATATCAAGGCATCACTCACATAACTTCCTTGCTTCATTATTATTATACCTGACTCATGGAAAAATTTCGAGATTGTTCCAGTGCCTAAATCAACAAGTGGACCTACTGTTAAGTTTAGACCCATTGCTATTAGCTCACCTTTTTTGAAAGTTATGGAAAGACTTATTTTACTTAATCTTCAACCCTCTTTAAAGCCTTTCAAAGACCCAAACCAGTTTGCTTATAAACATAGTAGGTGCACCTTAGATGCCTCTGTTGTCCTACATCATAGTATAGTCTCTAGTTTAGATAGAGGAGCTAAATACCTTCGGTGTGCCCTTCCTGATTCCACATCTGCATTAGACTCTGTTCCTAGGTCTCTCTTGCTAAGTAAGCTTGCTGTAACACAGGCTGAGAGCTGGACACATAAGTGGCTACATTCCTATTTTTCTGATAGGAAGCAGTACACCGTCTACAATGGAAAGTCCTCCACTACCTCACTTACTTGAGCTGGTGTTCCTCAAGGTGCTGTTCTTTCTCCTTTTCTGTTTTCCTTTTTCTTACATGACTTGCCCCATTCTGATGTAGCCAGTTTTGTTAAGTATGCTTGCTGATGATCTCTCTGTTTCAATGCCTGTCAACTCTCAGTCAGATTGTTCCAAATTAAATAACTTTCTGTCGGAAATTAGTCAGTGGTCCTCTTCAAACGGTCTTAAGCTGAATCCGTCTAAATTTCAGGTAGTCAATTTCACTTTCAGACGTAA